TCATCGTTTCAAGATAGAGACCCCCCGCGGGAAAATAGAGCCGAAACTTGCGAGACATCGTCTGCAACGCGGTCCAGAACCTTCAGCTGTCGACGACGGCATTAACTGGAACTGCCGTCTGCACCGGCATTCCACGGCCCTCTATCGGCATGCGCGGACCTCGCGATCGCTGCTCCTGATGCGGTCCAGTAATGCGAGCATGGTGATGTCGCACAGATCATTGCATGTGATACCCATCGCGTCCAACATCACTGCCAGTCGGGGAAAGGTTGATGCCACTGCAGGCTGGTCGCCATATCTGGATCTCACAGCTGCGTGGTGAAGAAACTCGGCACCATATGCATATGCCCAGGCCTGACTATTCCGCTGAAACTGATGGTGCTGCCCCTGCCTGAAGTCGCTGCCATCGAATAATGGGCTCGGCGATGTCCTTGCTGAATCCTGGGGCAGTTACGTCGCAGATGTTCCTCGTTGCCACACTCGTGGTATTGGGACCCTTTCGAATATGATATGGGTCCTTGCCGTGACCCTTGCCAAGCCTTCTTTCAAAATGAATATGGTCCTGCTGCGTGGGGCGTCGCCATCCGTCGGGAGTTGTGCTGGCTTGCCGAACTGTCGTCTACCTCGTCGCTGGCCCCTCCCAAACTCGTCAACCTTGATTGCGTCTGCTGGAACTCTGGTCTCGTCCTCGCCTCATGGTGCATGCTCGGTATTGTCAAGTTGCCGAACTGCATTCAGGCGATTCTCGATAATCAAACGATATTGCTGTACCACTCTCAGCGAAGAAACCTTCATGCTGGTAACCGGTGTCGCCGTCGGGTCCGTTGGTCTGATATGCTGCTGTTCCGTGGAAAAATACATACGCCAATGATCCTGTTTCTGACGTTGTTGCTGCTATGCTGTCGCCTGGGGGCGGCATGCCCTGTGCAAGGGCAATATGTAGCCGAAATAATTCGGATGTGCCTGTTGCGTTCGATGTTGGCCATGATCAGCTACCCCATGAGGGTGATTATCCATAATTTGCGCCTGCTGTCTGATGTGCCTCTTGAAGATGTGCAGCAGCTCTCCGTCTAGTGGTCCGAACCGTCTGAAAAGATTGCGAAGCATAATGGTATACTTGACATGTGAACCAATTGCTGGTGCGCGTAGTGCAATTCCTGTCGTTCGTTTTGCGATGCTTGAACCTTCATCTCACGTCCCAAAACTCGTGACATGTCTCCGAGCTGTAATATGTTCTGGTCCCTGTCGTTTGGCCGGTAGTTAAGTCGCCGCCGGCCAGTGGATGAGGTCCCGCACGTACACCCAGAGCGTGTTGGTCGATTCCCACTCTGGGCTCCAGCTCGGTGGCGTCTCGATGATCGCCATGTCTTGGCCCTGATGGCTCGCTGGATTGCTGGGCTGGAACCGTTCTGGCTGGTGCATCTAAACTCGGGGCTCGCCAGGCCCTGCACCTTTGCCGCCGAACATGGTGACACAGTTGATCAAGCTCAGCCCCAAAACTCAAGTGTCGAAGCCAAGACCGCTGAACTCGAACGAGACGTGTCGGAGCCGGCCGGCTCGCACCACACTGATGTCGGAGCCGACGTGCGCGCAGGCGGCGGGGCAGGAGCGACAATCGCTCTGCTTCAACGTGCAACGGCACGCGAGGAGCAAGATAGTTGTTCCCTCCCACAAACGGACGTGCAAGATAGATCTGGGATTTCCTGTCTCGAACTATCTCTCGACTGCGACGTGTCTTGAGCCATACCACTGCGCTGCGGCACCTCGCGCAAGCTGCTCAAACCTGTACGGCTCCAAACTGGGAGGAGAGCCCTGGGATGAGGTCTTGCAAAGGACTGGCATCGTTGTGCCTTGAGGCCCCACAAGAGAAGGAGGTAACAACTCACAAGCATAGGTGCAGAAGGAGGAGGGGGAGGGAAGAGGTGGGAGAGGAGGAGGCAGAGGAGGAAAGAGGAGGAGGCACAGGAGGTAAACCAGCAGCCCCCCATTGCCTCGTCGGGGAGGGCCTCTTCTGCCGGCGCCCATGGCGAACCCCCCGCGGGGCCTTTCTGGGCCATACCTTGGGGCCTCGCGGGCCCTGTCGGGCGCACGTTCGCAGAAGAAGACAAATCCGCCGGCCCCCTCGTGGGGCCACCGGCTGTAGGCCTAAGGTTCGCAGTTCCCTGTACCAGTTGCAGCTTCCAGTTCAGTTTCCACTGTGACAGTTCTGCTTCTTGCTGCTTACTCTGACAGTTCTGCTTCTTGCTGCTTACTGTTCCTTGTTGATGGACCGCGCGAGGGGGGGAGGCCCAAAACGGGCATTTTTACCCCGCCCTGAGCGTGTTGTCTGAATTGCTGGGGTGGGTAAAAATTCACGCCCCTCACGCAGATCGCCGGGTCAGGGTCCAAAAACAACGGATTTGCCACATTTCTGAAATTCGGTGGCACCCCGCACGCAGATCGGCGGGGTCAGGGTCCAAAAACACAGGGGATTTGCCACATTTCTCCAATTTGCTTGCACCCCTCACGCAGATCCCTTGGTCACGGTGCAAAAACACAGGGGATGTGCCACATTTCTGAAATTCGCTGGCACCTCTCACGCAGATCGGCAGGGTCAGTGTCCAAAAACACATGGGATTTGCCACATTTCAGAAATTCGGTGGCACCCGTGATGCAGATCCGTAGGGTCAGGGTCGAAAAACAAACAGGTCCCGACACTGTTTCACGGCGGCTCCCAGACCTCATGATTTAGCTTTTGCATCTCCCATTATCCGAGACAGGGGGCCGGCGGCATGGGGCGAAGCCCTTACGGATAACTGCATACACATAAACTGTTGGCGCTCCGCGCGGATTTCTTGGATCTGCGCTGGGCCTCCCCGGCGGCGCCTCAGCGCCGCTCCTGGCGCGCTCCGCGCGCCAGGGAGGGGGGCCCAGCGCAGATCCAAGAAATCCGCGCGGAGCGCCAAAAGTTTATGCTTCTGCCTTCTTTCTTCTTCGAGCTCGGCCCTGGAGCATCCTCGAGCATTTTCGGAGCCTCTTCGCCGGGGGGGGGTCTGGGTTAGATGCTCGTCCTGGGAACCTTTCTTGAGCCACTCGCTCCACTCATGCATCCATGCTGCGTCGAACGTAGGCCGGCCGGCTTGAGCCGAACTTGAGCCGAATTTGAGTCAAACGTGAGACGAGCTAGAGTCGAACTAGAGCCGAACTAGAGTCGATCAAATCCGTCAGGTGGCCCCAGAAGGTCCCCAAAACGAACCTCCGCTCTGGGGATCCGAGCTTGCCAGACACTCCGACGCGACAGCGATGGCTTTGGATCTGTCGCTGGAACTGCCTTGGAGGTACGGTTGATGGACAACATCCTACACCTTTTATGCTGTTTTTTGTGAACACCCCCCGCGCCCAAACTTCTTTAATAGTGGCGGGCTGCGCTGCGATGTGTCGATCTGCCGACTAACAGAAATCCTGCGCCCCGCTGGCGATGCCAACCACCGTGAAAATTGCGGGCAGGGGGACGCGTTGAAGTTTACACCAGCACCCCAGTCGCGCAGGTGCTGCAGGACTTTGTCCATCAACAGGGTAACCGAAGGTCCCCAAAACGAACATCCGATCTGGGGATCCGATTTTGCTGGGACGCTTCTGCGCGAAAGCGATGGGTCGGAATCTGTCGCTGGAGCTGCCCTGGAGGTATCCCATCGGGCCTGGGTCCACGCGGTCGGACGCGCCCTGGTAGAATTCCAGAGTTGTCCAGGCGGGACAGATCAGGAGCCACTGGCGACGGCCACACTGGCTTGCGCTTGGGGGGCAGGACGGCATGAGTAAAAACAATTCCCTCATGCCCTAGGCACCCTCATTATCATCATCACTCTCCGCATCCCCTTGCTTGTCCTTGCGGTGCTGAACCTCCTCTTTGCGTTCCTCCATATCCGCCTCCTCTTATTCGGAATTCCTCCTCCTCAGCCTCTGCCTGAACCTGAACATCATCTTTATCCTCGTATCTATATCCATGACCATCCTCATCACCATCAACATCAACGTCGGCATCAGCATAACCGTCATCATCAACATCGCTGTCATCATCATCGCCATCGTCATGATCATCATCGTGATCCTCGTCGTCACCATCGCCGTCGCCATCATCACCATCGCAATCATCATCACCATCATCATCTTCATCATCATCAGCATCATCATCATCACCGTCATCATCATCAGCATCATCATCAGCCTAATCAGCATCAGCATCAGCATC